ATGTGCTCCCCAAGTATTCTTGCTTGAGGCTAGGATTACAGTTCCTTGGAAGCTTTCCCACCAATAACATGAATCTAGCTGCTAGATTTGTCCACACATTTTTGAACAAAAACATTGTACATGTTGTAATTCTCCAGTCCTCTGATACCACCCCTGTATTCGAACAGGATTAGGTTGTTGCACAAAGTGCCACTGCAGCTTCAAGGTTATTTTTCTCAGTATCCTCAGGTGTCTCCAATTCACTTCTTTCTGAGTTAGAAACACCAAGGACAATCAGCCATTCTAATCAAAGCAGAAATTGCTGTAGAAGCTCAGTGGTTCAAGGGACTCAAAAACGTTAACTCTGCTTTCTCACCACAGGAGCTGCAAGACCTGCTTAGCTTCTCCAGCAATTCCTGTTTTCGTTTCAGATTTCCAGCATCTGCAGTTGTTTTATTTTAGCATTTCTGAAATTCTGTCAAACTTCAGCTCATCCATGTCTCAACTACATTTCCTTTCATTCTGAATTGGACAACAACTTCTTCTTAATAATACCTCAGCCAGGCCCTTACCTCTATGAGGATAAAACAGTGGATTTATGATAATCGGCCCCACTTTTGAGACCATTTCACTGTTCATGATTAAGGATGACTTTTGGATTCCCTTATAACGTTAGCTGCCAGTCTCATTTACTTCTTCATTCCCCACTGAACTATCTATATTTAGCTCGATGCTCACCGGGGTCATCAATAATCCTTATCACTTGTATCATTTGCCACTATTTCCTGCTTGTGGAAACATTCTGAGACTGTAGCTGAACAATCTCCTGTTCTAAGGCAGACTATTGTTTCATTGCAGTTTTGCCTAAACTTGTGTTCAAATTTACTTGCTGCAAATGTCTTCTTGCCCCTTTTGAAATTGGTCATCCTTCAAATCAAAATTATTCAACATTGCTCCTTGCTCTCTTCCAAAGCCAAGCTAAAAATCTTACGTTACAGTGATCAGTGCTTCCCTTAAATGATCCATGTCTGATATTCGATATATTGTGTTTATGCACACCAGTTATGAAGGTGGTAGTGCAGGTTGAAGATATCGTCAGGATTATGAACTTTAAAAATAGGAGCATTGTATGCAAAACAAAGAAGTTATGACAAATCTTTATAAAAAATCCTGATTTGCCCTCAACTCTAGTATTTACAAACTACGCTTCAGGAAGGGATTTGAGAGGGTGCATAAAACATTCAAAAAAATAATACCAGAGATGACAAACTAGACAACTTTGTGGAGAGTTTGAAGAAACTAGGGCTTCTTGGAGAAGACTGAGAAGAGATTTTACAAGTGTTCAAAATCATGAGGGATTTGGTTGGAACAGAGAAGAACAATCAGTTACTTGTGACAGAAGACTTGAGAAGAAAAGGACACTGATTTAAGATGATCAGCAAAAACAAACAATGGTGACAAGGAAAATCTATTTTTTTAAATAGCATAGTTAGGAACTGGAATGCTCTGCCTAATTGTGTGGTGGACACAGCTTCAATTGAGGTCTTCAAAAAGGAACTACAATTTTCTAAAGGAGAGGTTTTGCAGTAGTACACAGTAAAAGGACTCAGGAGTGAACTGAGGCAAGTTCCTCTTTGAGAGCTGGTGTAAACATCATCAAATCATTGCCTTTGGCCTGTTACCATTTGATGGTTGTATAACATTGCACAAACTGCCAGCTCCCCAGCTATTTCCTCCCGGTTTGTCATATTCTGAATAATGATTAACTTAGTCATACGTGCAATTAAACTTACTTAGCAATTATTTCGCTTGTTCCTGAAGAACCTCCACTTTCGTTTTCCTCACCATTTGCACTGTCAATGTTTCCAGAGCTGCAACTGATGAAAGAGAACAAATTGAGTCATTGAGAACAAGCAAACTCATCCAGAATTAAATCCAACCCAATTTAACAAAAAAAGAATCACAGTCTTGAGAGATAGATTCTTTTGACTTCCACAGGATGTCCACAGGTCATCATGATGAGGCACTGCTGGGGTGGGGGTTGGAAGAGACAGAACAGGGCAAAAAGAAGAGAAAACCATTCTTCAGTATCTCACCCTTGTTGATAGCCATTTCTGGGCTATGCAAGACCTTGATACTGAAAGATAAGCAAAATTCAATCTACCATTGAAAAGCTTTGAATGCTTTATTCTCATTCAACATTATCTAATCTCTCAAAATAAGCCAAACATTTCAGAAGCAGTCAAGCAGTTGCTTCATGTGATTGCTATAGTTTGGATTGGTGTTCACTGCACTGCCAATGGGATGCCTTCCTGAGGCAATCCTGACATAATCTTAGAGCAACTGCCAACAGTTTCCTTTCACATTATTAGATCCCAAATACTGTACAACAGGTTTAATCTGACATCAGATCAAATTTACTTGCCAATTACTCCTTTAGTTTCTGACAAACTTAGGTTTCCACCTACTTCACAGTGTGACATGTCAACATTTTCACAGCTGCAACTGTTCATAAAACACCAGTTAAATCATTTTAAATGAGCACATGATCACAATTTTAATTTCTGGCACTTCTTATCAACATTGGGATTTTTGGCTGTGAGGGGGAGCCAGTGGGTAGATGGGGAGTAAAGAGGTCAAATAAAGAACCTCTGCACTGGGACAGACGATAAACATCCCAAATGCAAGGATTTAAGTTCAACTTGCTCATCTCATAAAAACTCAAGCTCTTCACAGACTATTGACAAGACCTGTAACTTGCCTGACATTCAGTTCCTTACCTTTTATGACTGACACTGAGTGCCCAAGTTGTTGACTCGCTGTTTCCAAGCTCTTGGATTGGTATCAAAGGCCCTTCACTTACTGTGCTGGGTCTCCTGACTGAAAACCATATAGTATCACTGACCTGGAGAGTTTGAGTTACAAGGAAAGGCTGGATAGGCTGGTACTTTTTTCACTGGAGCATAAGAAGTTGAGAGGCGACCTTATAGAGGTTTATAAAATCATGAGGGATATGGATAAAGTGAATGGCAGGTGTCTTTTCTGTAGACTGGAGGATTTCAAGACTAGGGGCATATTTTTAAGGTGAGATGAGAAAGATTTAAAAAAGACATGAGGGGCAATGTTCTTAAACAAAAAATGGTTTGTGTGTGGAATGAACTTCCAGAGGAAGTGGTGGATGGGGTACAGTTACAACATTTAAAAGGTGTTTAAACTGATCACCAACAGTCTGTCCTGGTCTTCTCATGTCAACATAACGGTCAAGAAAGCACAACAAAGTCTCTACTTCTTACGAGGCTGAGGAAATTTGGCATGTCCACAAGGACTGTTACCAATTTTTACAGATGCACAGAAAGCATTCTATCTGGGTGCATCACAGCGTAGTTTGCCAACTGCTCTTCCCAAGAGTGCAAGAAACTACAGAGAGTCGTGAACATAGCCCAGTCCATCACGTAAACCAGCCTTCCATCCATTGACTCCACCTATACTTCCTACTGCCTCGGGAAAGCATCCAACATGATCAAACATCCTGCTTATACACTCTTCCAGCCCTCTCCTCCGTCAGGCAGATGACATAAAAGTCTGTATGCATATATGAATGGATTCAAGAACAGCTTCCCCGCGAGATTAGACTTCTGAATGGACCTCTAAAATTTTAAATTTAATGTTGGTCTCATTCTCTGTGCACTTTCTATGCAGCCATAAACATTGTATTCTTCGTTGGGTCTTTTACCCCAATGCACTCTGTATGGTTTGATATCCCCGTACTGCATGCAAAACAAAACTTTTCACTGTACCTAAGTTCATGTGCAATAATAAATCAAATCAAGTCAAATACATTTAGATAAGTACATAAGTAAGTAATCTCTGGAGTTTGATGGGCCAAATTTAAGCAGGTGGGACTAGTTTAGTTTGGGATTATGGTTAGCACGGATTGGTTGGACCGAAGGGTCTGTTTCCATTCTGTTTGACTCTATGACTCTAATTCAATCCTCACAAGCACAGCTTGTAACTCAAAGTTTGATTCAGAGCACTAATATAGGAATTCGTCACTGCTCAAATTCACTGAAGCTTAATCAGATTTTTCAGCTGTTTTGCTGAAAAAATAATTTTATTCATTTTTCTTTCCTGCCCCTTTAACAGTTCTCAGTTTAGTTAAAGATCTGGGCAGAATAAACACAGGATTAATTCCAGGTCTCTGACTTGGGTAAGTGCCTGATGGCAGCTGGCCAACTTAGATTATCAAAAATGCAAAGCATTCACTGGCAACATTGTATGGGAGATATACCAAGGCTTGGACACTAGGAGCAGGTCACATTCTTAATTGTGTCATATTTCCTCAAATGTCACAAAAGTTTGGAGGGCACTTCAATGAACTTTGAGGAATTTTGGGGGGAGGGTGCAGCTGAGCAGCAAAGAGGAACAAAGAGAAGTGGTGAGCTGGGGTGGAGGAGATGAACCCATTTCTTCAGTATTTTCACTGTAGCTACATTGTCCAGAAATATAATGTCAATAGTGAGCCGCAAGCATTTTCCCATCTAAGTGTTTTGGATGCGTCAATGTTGGTACTATCATTTAAGACAACTCTATTATTAAATTGCTAGGGAGATAGTTCAGCAGCCACTTTAATGTGACTGCTATAGTCTGGAATGGCATTCATTACATTGCACAAAAAATTTTGAAGAAATCAATGGTTCTCCATCATTCCCTTTTCACGCTGCTGCATTCCAAATGAAGCATAATTAAACCACATCAAAATTATTTCAGATCAAACTTGCTTCCTCATGGTTGCACACATGTCTGGCAAACTTTTATTCCATCCTCCTGACAATCTATATTGCTAAAATGTCCGCAGCTGCAAGTGGTCAGGAAGCACAAATTAAACAAAGGATCTGCATCTGCAAATGACTTGCAAACATTTGAAAATAACTTTTGAACACCAAAATGCTCAGTATTTCAAGTCCTCATTATGTCAAATTCGAGAAGTACGATGATACTAGACTGTTTGCTTTCTTAATTTTCAGAGAAAATATGTAGGTCAATCCAGTTAGGTAGACTTGTGCATGAGGGGAGGTGGGAGGTTTAGCAGTTTCGCATTGTTGCAAGTTAGACCACCAAGAGCTGGATGTTGAGGGCCATGCAATTTTTCACTGAAGATTTTTGGAATATTTCCATGGATCAAAGGATGAATTGTGTCATTGATTTAATTACTGGCAATGGCCGTGGAGGGAGTAAAGCTGTTTCTTTAATGTGATTTTTATCATTTCGAATGGTATTTGCTAGACTGCTGCAGGATCCTTCAGGAGTTGGTTCCTACATAATCTTTCAAGAGCTACTATCTTTCCAGAAATTTCCTTTCATGGGATGTATTGTGAATTGAAATTTCTGCAGTCGCTTTTGGTGAACTTGGTTTTTCAATTTTCTTCGAGTTTGAGCTGTCAAGGGTTTCAGACCTGCAATTAGTTATCAGGCAAAAATTAAAGACATTTTAAACAAGCACTTGGACCCGGAAGTGGCTTACGCACAAAAGGAATATTGAAATATTAAGTTTGAAATCCATAAGACCATAAGATATAGTGGCAGAATTAGGCCGTTTGGTTTATTGAGTCTGCTCTGCCATTCGATTCTGGCTGTGATGTTTCTCAAGCCCATTTGCCAGCCTTCTTCTGGAACCCTTGATCCTCTTACTAATCAAGAACCCATCTATCTCTATCTTAAATAGACCTAATGACTTGGCCTCTGTGGCCTTCTGCAATGTTTTCCACTGATTAACTACGCTCTGACTGTCGAAATTCTTTTTTATCTTAGTTCTAAAGGTTGGTCTCTTCACTCAGCGACTGTGCCTGCATGTCCTAATCTCTCCAACGCCTGGAAACATCTTCTCCATTCCATGTGCAATCTTTCCAGATCTCTCAGTATTCTGTAAGTTTCAATGAGATTCCCTCCCATCCTTCTAAACTCCATCCTGTACAGAACCAAAGTCCTCAACCACTCCTCATATGACAAGCCCTCCACAAGTTTTCAAGTCCTTATCAGCTGGATTTGTTAAACAGGCAACATTTCTGATGTATGTAACTACAATAGATTCTGATTTCTTTTTCCGTCCAAGCTTTAACAGGTGGTTTGCAAGTGATAGCAGTTGAGTCTGGCAGAGGGTCTGGAGGAGCTGCAAGGAAGAAGGAATTTCAACTTTCACAGAAGTTTGCAGGACACCATGGTCTATTTTTTTGGGCGATGGGCGGAGGTAGGGCATGTAATAATATTGGAAAGCAGAGAGTTAGATAGTCAATTTCTTCAATATGTTTAGCTGCATGGCACAGTCCAATGTTTAGAAATGTTCCATTAAAGACTGTGTCTTAATAACACATACCCAATTATTCACTGGCAATTAAATGGGAGGTGGGAGGATTGGGAAAATGGCAGGGAGGGAGTCTACCATCTTCCCATTGCTAAGCTATGTTGACATGGACCAGTTCTCCTTGACCTCTTGACTCTCCTTGACCTCTAAGGCCTACATCCCTCATTTCCCTGATGGTGCCCACCTTTACAACCTCAGTGACAATCAGCATAAACAGTAGGGCCAAAAAAAGGTGCTAATCTGCCATCCCTTTCACTGACCTAGCAGCAGCTGAAACTGAGCCACACCATCAACTGGTGAGTAACCCCGGCAACAATCTCTTCATTGGTCACCGCTGGAATAGACCAAAGCCTCCAGGTTTCAGTTCCAGCATAAGGCCTGCAGCATTAACCGCATGTTTCCACCTAAAATTTTTCACAAAACCAGGAATACAGCAAATATTAGAACGACGGCCAACAGTTTCTTTAATGTAAAAGAACAAACTATGGAAGCTGACGATCTGAAAGAAAAGCAGACGTTGCTGGAGAAACTCAACAGTTTTGCAGCATCTGCAGAGAGAAATTAGAGTTCACGTTGAGTTAAGTGACACTTCATCAGAGATGTGAAGTTCTGAACAAGGGAATCTCAACTCAAAACGTTAACTCTGCTTTCTCTCCACAGATGCAGCCAGACCTGCTAAGTTTCAGGATAATGTCTCGACATAATGTTCCTGAAAATGCCAGCCCTCCAGCAGCTGCCCTTCACATACTTGTATTCTGAATAAAGCATCATTTCATCACACATTGGATCAGTACTTAACTTTCTGATCTCTGCAACTGTCTCTGGAGGCATTGGATTTTCATTTTCCTCACAGCTTGAACTTTTATCATTGATTCCGCTGCTGAAATTAGTTGTGAAGAAAGTCATTTTAAACAAGCACTTGCATCCACAATTGGCTGTTAGCTGTTAGAAATTTACTCAAAACTCAGGGATTCAGTGTTTTAACTTTTAACAAAACCCAGTAATTAAATATGTCGCAATCCAGATGCATGGCACCAAAGAATGGTGACTTTTTTTCTTCAAAACCTTTCATATATTTGAAGGACACTGCAGCTGGTGATAAGGGGCAAAAGGAGATGCTAAACCCATTTCTTCACAATATATTCAGATTCTAGTAGGTAACAGATGAATGACTCAACTTCAACGCCAAAAGGCAAGCAACTTTCCACTGACAGTAGGAACTGCAGATGCTGGAGAATCCGAGACAACAAGGTGCTGAGCTGGATGAACACAGCAGGCCAAGCAGCATCATAGGAGCAGGAAGGCTGACGTTTCAGGCCTAGACCCTTCATCAGAAATGGGAGAGGGTAAGGGGGTTCTGAAATAAATAGGGAGAGAGGGGGAGGCGGATAGAAGATGGATAGAGGAGAAGATCGGTGGAGAGGAAACAAACAGGTCGAAGAGGAGGGGATGGAACCAGTAAAGGTGAGTGTAGGTGGGGAGTTAGGGAGTGGATAGGTCAGTCCAGGGAGGACGGACAGGTCAAGGGGGCGGGATGAGGTTAGTAGGTCGGAGATGGGGGTGCGGCGTGAGGTGGGAGGAGGGGATAGGTGGGAGGAAGAACAGGTTAGGGAGGCGGGGACAAACTGGGCTGGTTTTGGGATGCGGTACGGGGAGGGGAGATTTTGAAGCTTGTGAAATCCACATTGATACCATTGGGCTGCAGGAGGCATTCCACTCCCGTACATCTCAGATGTCCTCGTTTTTCAAGGACCCCAACTTCCCCACCTCAGTGGTCGAGAACGCCGTCCACCGTGTCTCCCACATTTCCCGCAACTCATCCCTCACATCCCGTCCCCGCAATAACAACCAAAAAAGAATCCCCCTCATTCTCACGTACCACCCCACCAACCTCTGGATCCAACGCATCATCCTCCGACACTTCCACCATCTGCAAACCGACCCCACCACCAAAGACATTTTTCCCTCCCTACCCTTATCTGCTTTCCGAAGGGACCACTCTCTCCATGACTCCCTTGTCCGCTCCACACTCCCCTCCAGCCCCACCACACCCGGCACTTTTCCCTGCAACCGCAGGAAGTGCTACACCTGCCCCCACACCTCCTCCCTCACCCCCATCCCAGGCCCCAAGAAGACTTTCCACATCAAGCAGATGTTCACCTGCACATCTGCCAATGTGGTATACTGCATCCGTTGTACCCGTTGTGGCCTCCTCTACATTGGGGAAACCAAGCGGAGGCTCGGGGACCGCTTTGCAGAACACCTACACTCGGTTCGCAATAAACAACTGCACCTCCCAGTCGCGAACCATTTCAACTCCCCCTCCCATTCCTCAGACGACATGTCTATCCTGGGCTTCCTGCAGCCACAACGATGCCACCCGAAGGTTGCAGGAACAGCAACTCATATTCCGCTTGGGAACCCTGCAGCCCAATGGTATCAATGTGGATTTCACAAGCTTCAAAATCTCCCCTCCCCCTACCGCATCCCAAAACCAGCCCAGCTCGTCCCTGCCTCCCTAACCTGTTCTTCCTCCCACCTATCCCCTCCTCCCACCTCAAACCGCACCCCCATCTCCTACCTACTAACCTCATCCCGCCCCCTTGACCTGTCCGTCCTCCCTGGACTGACCTATCCCCTCCCTCACTCCCCACCTACACTCAACTTTACTGGCTCCATCCCCATCTCCTCGACCTGTCTGTTTCCTCTCGACCTATCTTCTCCTCCATCCAGCTTCTATCCGCCTCCCCCTCTCTCCCTATTTATTTCAGAACCCCCTTCCCCTCTCCCATTTCTGATGAAGGGTCTCGGCCCGAAACATCAGCCTTCCTGCTCCTATGATGCTGCTTGGCCTGCTGTGTTCATCCAGCTCTGCACCTTGTTGTCCCAACTTTCCACTGAAGTGTCTTCACTGTCCTGGTCTAATAAAATTTTCCTTGTTGAAGAAAACCTCAACCACTAAGTATAATGCAAATATTAGAGAGGCAGTAATGTGATTACGATGGTTTGGAGTGGTATTCACTGCACTCCTGATGGAATGACATCAAGGGGAGTCCCTGAATAATATTACAGAATATGCCAGCTCACCAGTAATTTCCTTTCTGTTGTACTCCATATGAAGCAAAACCTTAGTCACACATCATAGCAAACCTACTTTTTGAAGACCACCTTGGTTTCTGAAAGATCCAGATCTCTTTTTCCTTCACCGTTTGGACTGTCAATGTTTTTAGAGCTGCAAATGGTCATAAAAGTGCGATTAAGTCATTTTAAGCAAACATCTGCATCCACAGTAAAAACATCTTTATAATCTTGAAAGAAAATGAGTCTGTATTTCAAGCCATTGATGGCTAATTTGGTGAAAACATGTCGCACACAAGATAGAGGTTTGGACTGTCAAGGTTTCCACAAATGCAATTGGTCATAAAAAAGAAATTAAGAGAATTAAATTGGCATTTGAATCCATCTATTACTGGGATTCCTATGAGAAGCAGTTGAGGACTCTGGGTCTGCACTTGACTGATATTAGAAGGATGAGGAGGTATCTGGTTGTAACTTACAGAATACAGAGGAGCCTGGATAAAGTGGACATGGAGAAGATTCTTCCATTCGTAGGAGAGACTAGGATCCACAGACAAAGGGACCACCCTTTAGAACTGAGCTGAGGACCAATATCTTCAGCCAGAGGGTGGTGAATCTTTGGAAATCACTGCTGTAGAAACCAAGTCATTGAATGTGTTTAAGACGGATATACATAGGTTCTTGATCAGCTAGGATGATTAAGGATTATGGGGAGAAGACAGGAAAATGGTGTTGAGAAATGTTTCAGCCTGGATTGAATGGTGGATAAGATTCAATGGGTCGAATGGCCTAATTCTGTCCTATATCTTGTGGTCTATCAGTTGCTTGCTTGGCTGAAGACTCTGGATTCAGTATGTCAGCTCCTGGTCAGCTGCTTGTATTCAACTCGTCACCCTCCAGATGTAGAAGTACACCACATGGTGACTTGTTATTCAAAACAGTTTCCTTAATGTGGTAACCTGGAATAGTGTTCACTACACTGCCCTAGGGTGCATGCAGAAGGAAGTACCCATATAAATTTCCTGGAATTACTTGTTGTCCAGTGATTGCCTTTATTCCAAATATAAGATTTAAAAGGATGTTGCTGGGATTGGAGGGTTTCAGCAATAGAGGAAGGCTGAATAAGATTTTTTCCGTGGAATGTCGGAGGCTGAGGGGCTGACCTTACAGAGGTTTATAAAATAATGAGAGGCATGGATAGGGTGAATAGCTGAAGTCATTTCTCCAGGATAGGGGAGTCCAAAACTACACAGCGTAGGTTTAAATTGAGAGGGGAAAGATTTAATAGGGACCTGAGGGGCAACCTTTCCACGCAGAGGGTGGTGCATGTATGGAATGAGCTGCCAGAGGCGGTGGTAGAGGCTGGTACTATCACAACATTAAAAATGCATCTGGATGGGCAGATCAATAGGAAGTGTTTAGAGGGATATAGGCCAAATGTTGGCAAATGAGACCAGGTCAGATGTCTGGTTGGCGCAGATGATTTGAACCAACTAGTTTGTTTCTGTGCTGTATAATTCTATAACATTAATGAAGAATTAAATCGCACTTCAGATCAAACTCACTTTATAATTACTTCAACTCTTCCTGGAGTACCATGATTTCCAAGTCCACTGGAGTTTGGACTGTCAGGGTTTCCACACCTGCAATTGGTCATAAAAGATAAATTAAGTCATCTGAATTGGCATTTCAATTCATTTACATTTGGGGATTCCTATGAGGAGGGGTTGAGGCTCTGGGTCTGCTCTTGATCAGATTTACAAGGGTGAAGGGAGAATCTAATTGAAACTTATGGAATACTGACAGGCCTGGAAACAATGAATGTGGCAAAGATGCTTCCACTAGTCGGAGAGACTAGGGCCTCAGGGCACAGCTTCAGACTGAAGGGGCCACCCGTGAGAAATGAGATAAGGCTCTAACGGCCGAATGGCTTAATTCCTCTTCTACACGTGTTTTGGTTTGTCAGCTGTTTGAATGGCTGAAGACTCTGGATTCAGTATTTCAGATCCTGGTCAGCTGCTTTTGTTCATCTGGTCACACTCCAGATATAGAACATTAGACGGTGACGTTTTCTTCAAAAACTTTCATAGGTTTGAAGGACTCTGTAGCTGGGCGATAAGGGCGAAAGGGAGTGATGGGAAACCTATTTCTTGAAATGTTCATATTCAGAGTCGAGAAAGGTCACAGATAAATAACTCCAAATTTCAATCCCGAAAGACAGGCAAATTTCCATTGAGGTTTCTTTGATGCCCTGTCCTAATACAACTTTGCACAATAAAAACGCCTTTATAAACTTGAAAGAAAATGAGTCTGTATTTCAAGACATTGACGCCTTATTGGCAAAAACATGTCACACACAAGATTTTCTTTGAAGTTATTTTGATGCCCTGTCCTCACACAATTTTGTTTTTGGAAGAATTCTCTCAAACCTCAGGAATAGTGTAAATATTAGACAGGCAGTAATATTATTGTTATGGGCTGGAATGGTGTTCACTGCACCGTTGTGTAATGCCTTCATGAGGAATCCCTACATTATCTTACAGTAACTGCAGTTCAACAGCAATTGCTTTTCATGTTCTTGTACTTTGAATGAAGCAACACCTAGGTCACATATTGCATCAAACTTACTTTTTGAAGACCACCTTAGTTTCTGGAGAACCCAGATTTCCATTTCCATCAACGTTTGGACTGTCAATGTTTTCAGAGCTGCAAATGGTCATAAAGTGCTATCAAGTCATTTTAACTGAATGTCGACATCCACAATAAAAACATCTTTACAAACTTGAAAGATAGTGAATCTGTATTTCAAGCCATTGATGGCGAATTTAGTGAAAACAGGTGACACACAAAATATATGACCACAGTAGACGGTGATTTACTTCCCAAATGGTAGTTGTGGGAAAGGAGAATGTGGTTGGAGGATAGAAACAGAGAGAGAGAGAGAGAATGCGACAAACCCATTTCTTCAATACTTTACACTTGTTGCGTAAAACGTGCAATTTCTCCAGTGAAGAGCTCTGGATACCGTCTCTATATACAGGGCTGAATTTTCCCAGTCAACTGCCTATGGCCTGGGACATGAGATAATTGACAAAGTGAAGGGGAGCCCAGGAGTAAAGCCTGACTCCCTTCTCTACAGTTACATTATATTGTCAGAGGTGGGCAAGGTAGCTGGCTTGACCACACACTGGGCAGCCAATCAGATTACCAACTGAGGGTCACTGCTGTCGATGTGTCATGTGACTAGTACTGCCAGAGATGAACTCCCACAGTGGACCTCAGGCCAGTAAATCTCTTTAGTATAAGCTCAGCAACAGCAACCACTAATGGTGGAAAAGAAAAGATTTCTGCTCTGCCTTCACTCTGATTTCACTGTCAGCTGTTGGGATTGGACCATTTCATTGATTGCCTAGTGACAAGACAGCTCCTTCTGAGTTCTGATGAAGAGTTTCGGTCCATGACATTGACTTTCCTGCTCTTTGCATGCTGTCTGACCTGCTGTGCTTTTCCAGCCTCACTCCTATAGACTCTGGTTCCAGCATCTGCAGTCCTTACTGTCTCCAAGCACCTTCTTGATTATCCACCATCCACACCAGCCACCAATCACAGCAGGACTGGCTCCAACTTTCAGTCCAAGCAGCAGGACTCCACCACAATTCACAAAATTTTTACTGCAAACGTCTTGCTTAAAAAAAAAACCACCATCCAACTTACAGGAAAAATATAGAGTTTGAAGGCAGAGCCCAACAGTTTCCGTAATGTGCTAACTGTAGCCTGGAATGGTGTATTCTACTTGTTCTAGGATCCATGCAGAAAGAAATACCCCCATAGCTTTACAGAAATTCATTGTTATCAAGTGATTGCCTTTATTTCAAACACAATATTCATCAAGAATAAATTGCACTTTAAAGCAAACTCACTTTTTAATTTCTTCAGTCTTTGCTACAAAACAATCACCTCCATCCTTGGCAGAGATGATACTGTCAATACTCTGAAGCCTGCAATTGGTCATAATAGATAAATTAAGCATTTCAATCCATCTACACTTGGGATTCCTATCAGCAGCGGTTGGGAATTCTGGGTCTGTACTCGAGTGATGTTGGAAGGATGAAGGGGCAATTTGGATTGAAATTTACAGAATACGGACAGGCCTGGATAGAGTGGATATGGAGATGTTTCCACTCGTCGGAGAGGCTAGAACATAAAAGGCACACCTCAGAGTGAAGGGATCATACTTTAGCACTGAAATGAGGAGGAATTTGTTCAGTCAGAGGTGGATGAATCTTTGGAACTTATTGCCACAGAACGCTGTGGACACCAAGTCATTGAGTGTATTTAAAACAGAGAGAGATAAGTTCTTGACTAGTAAGGGGATCAAGATTTACAGGGAGAAGGCAGGAGAATGTGTATGAGAAATAGATCATCCATGATCAATGGTGGAGCAGACATGATGGACTGAATGGCATAAAACTGCTCCGGCATATCATGGTCTGTCAGCTGTTTGAAGAGCTAAAGACTCTGAATTCAGTATTTCAGTTCTTGGTCAGCTGCTTGTGTTAAACCAGTCACACTGCAGATGGATGACTGAATGCAGGGTGATTATTTTTGCCCTCAAAACTTTCATAGGTTTGAAGGACACTGTAGTGAGTGATAAGGGGAGAGAGAAATGGGAAACCCATTTCTGAGTATTTTCATATTCAGAGTTTAGAAAAGGTTACAGATAATTAACTCCAAATTTCAATACTGAAAGGCCAGCAACTTTCCACTGAAGTGCCTTCAATGTCATGACCTAATACAAGTTTTTTGAAGGAATCTCTGAACCTGAAGAAATGATGCAAATAATTGAGAGGCAGTAATGTGATTGCTATGGTCTGGAATGGTGTCAACTGCACTGCTGTGTGATGTTTTCATGAGGAGTCCCTAAGTTATATTGTAGTAACTGTCAGTTCAGCAGCAACTTGCTTTCACTTTCACGTACTCTGAATGAAGCAAAACCTTTGTCACATAATATATTCAAACTTACTTCTTCCTGAATGTCTGATATCTGGAGAAGCACAGTTTTGCATCTGCGTTATAGTTTGGATTGTCAAGATTACCAGGCCTGCTTTTGGTCAGGCAAGATAAATTTGGTCACTTAAATTAGCATTTGTGTCCATCTACAATTTTGTGGGCCAGCTGTTTGAATGGTTGAAGGCTCTGGATTCAGTATTACGGCCCGTAATGAGCTGCTTTTGTTAAAATGGTCACAGTCCAGATGAATGACCGCAATAAATGGTGATTTTTTTCTTCAAAACCTCGCATAGATTTGAAGGACACTATGGCTGGTGATAAGGGCAAAAAGGTGATAGGAAAATAGTACCGTCTGGAATGGTATTCACTGCACTGCTCAGTGATATTTTCATGGAGAGTCCCTATGTTATCTTATGGTAACTGCCAGCTCAATTACAATTTCCTTTTGCTTTCTGGTACTCCGAAAGAAGCAAAATCAGAGTCACATATTGTATCAAACTTACGTTTTCATGGTCGCCTTAGATTTTGAAGAGCACAGTTTTCCATCTCCATCGCAGTTTGGATTGTCAAGGTTACCATGCCTGCAATTGGTCAGACAAGACAAATGTAGTCCTTTAAATTAGCATTTGCCTCTATCTTCAATTGTGCGCTAGCCATTTGTTTTGAAGGCTCTGGATTCATTATTGCAGCCCAAATACAGCTGCTTTAGTTAAACTAGTCATACCCACATGCATGACTGCAATAGATGGTGGTTTAGTCCTTGAAAATGTTCCCTAGGTTGAAGGACACGATAACTGGTGATCAAGGTAAAAGAGAGAGACAGAAAACACATTTCTTGAACATATTCATATTCAGAGATTGGAAACTTCAACAACGAAACACAAGCAATTCTCCTTTGAAGTGTCTTTGATCTCCTCTCTTAATAGTATATTTTTGAGGCAAATTCTGAAGCCCTAGGAATAATGCAGATAATAGAGAGGCAGTAATGTGACTGCTATGGTCTGGAATAGTGTTCACTGCACAGCCCTAGGACGAACGCAGAAGGAAATGACCACATAACTTTACAGGAATTGCTTGTTATCCAGAGGTTGCCTTTATTCCAAATGCAATATTCATCAAGAATTAAACTGCACTTTGGATCAAACTCACCTTTTAATTGTGGCAGTTGTTCCTGGAGAACAGTCAATTCCATCGCAGTTTAGAGTGTGATGGCTTTGAGATCTGCAATTGGTGATATAAGGTACATTTAAATTTAATGTTAAAATTAGCACTTGACTTCATCTACACGTGCCAGCTGCCCTTCATTAGCAGCCGTTGTTAAACTAGTCACACTCCAGATGGATGACTGCAATAGATGGTGATTTTTTTCTTCAAAACCTCGCAGAGGTTTGAAGGACACGTTAGCTGGTGATAAGGGCAAAAAGGGATGGAAAAATACTACGATCTGGAATGGTATACACTGCACTGCTGTGTGATGTTTTCATGAGGACTCACTCGAGGGAGATAAGGATGCCACAAATCCATTTCTTCAACACTTCATTCTTGTTGCATAGTACAGAAATATCTCAAATAAAGAGTTCCATATCCAAATAGAGAAGGCCAACCAATTTCTCCAGTGAAGACCTTTGGAAAATGACTCGACATACAGGGCTGAGTTTTCCCAGTTAACTAGCTGTGGCTTGGGACATGAGATGATTGGCACATGCAGGGGAGCCCAAGAGTAATGCCTGACTGCATTCTCCACAATTACACCATATTTTCAGAGGTGGGCAAGGTAGCTGGCTTGACCACCCACTGGGCAGCCAATTAAGTCACCAACTGAGGGCCTCTGGTGTCTGTGCATCATATGGCTAGGACTGCCGGAGGATTCACTCCCACAATGGATCTTAGGCCAGCAAAACTCTTCAGTATAGGTTCAGCAATAGCAACCACAAATTGTGGAAAAGATTGCTGCTCTGCCTTCACTCTGATTTCACTGTCAGCTCTAGGGATTGGACCATTTCGTTAATTGGCTAGTGATCAGGCAGCTCCTTCTTGATTATCCGCCATCCATACCAGGCTATCAATCACAGCAGAACTGCCTCCAGCTCTCAGTCCAAGCAGCAGGGCTCCACCACAATTCACAAAATTTTTACTGCAAATGTCCTGTTAAAAAAATTACACCACTATTGAGCTTCTATGAACAATACAAATTTTGAATGTAGAGCCCAACAGTTTCTATAATGTGGTAACTATGGCTCGGAATGATGTTGGCTGTACTGCCCTAGGATGCTCACAGAAAAATATACCCACATAACTTTAGAGAAACCACTGGTTATCTAGTGATTACCTTTACTCCAAACACAATACTCATCAAGAATTAAACTGCACTCTAGAGCAAACTCACGTTTTAATTTCTTCAGTTGTTCTTGGACAATTATCATTTCCATTTTCATTGAAGTTTTGATTGTCAACACTTTGATTCCTACAATTGGTCATAAAAGATAAATTAAGGATATAAATCAGCATTTCAATCCATCTATATCTGGGATTCCTATAAGAAGTGGTTGGGAGCTCTGGGTCTGTACCCGATTGATGTTAGCAGGATTAGGGGGTTATTTGATTTAAACTTACGGAATACAGAGAGGCCTGGATAGAGTGGATATGGAGAGATTCGAACACAAGGGCACATTCTCAGAGTAAGGTACCACACTTTAGAACTGAGATGTTCTGCCAGAGATGGGTGAACCTGTGGAACTCATTGCTGCAGAAGGCTGTGGACACCAATGCTTTCAGTGTATTCAAGACAAAAATAAATAAGTTCTTGATTAGTCAGGGGATCAAGGTTTATTGGGTGAAGGCAGGAGAATGGGGCTGAGCAATATATCAGCCATGACCTATGGTGGCACAGACATGATAGACTGAATGGCCTAAATCTGCTCCTACATATGTTATGGTCTGTCAGCTGTTTCAATTGCTGAAGACTCTGGATACAATTTTCTGTTCTTGGTCGGCTGCTTTTGTTAAGCTGTTAAACATCCCCAGGTGGATGGCTGCAATAGATGGTGATTTTTTTTCTTTCAAACCCTTTCACAGGTTTGAAAGGTAGTGTACCTGATGATAAGGGCGAAAGAGAGTGATACGAAACACAATTCTTGAAAATATTCATATTCAGAGTGTAGAAACTTCACAGATAAGTAATCATATACTTCAATATCAAAAGATAGCATTTTACCAATGAAGTGAGTTTCATGTCCTGTCTGAACTATTTTTTGAAATAAACTCAGAACCCTCAGGAAAAGTCCAAAGATGTGCACGTTAGGTGGATTGGCCATGCCAAATTGCCCATTGTGTTCAGGGAGGTGTAGATTAGGTGGGTTATAGGGGGATGGGTCTGGGTGGGATGCTCTGAGGTTCGGTGTGGACTTGTTGGGCCAAAGGGCCTGTTGCCACACTGTAGGGATTCTATGGTTCTATGAATATGGCAAATATTAGAGGGTATGATGTAACTGCTAGGATTTGGAATGATATTCATGGCAGTGCTGTGCGATATCTTCATCTTACAGTATCTTACACTAATTGCCAGCTCTTTAACAATTTCCTTTCGCTTTCTTGTACTCCGAATGAAGCAAATTTGTCGTTAGATATTGTATCAAACTTACATTTTTACGGCCGCCTTAGTTTCTGGAGAACTCTGATTTCCATCACTGTTGCAGTTTGGACCGTCCAGGTCACCAGGCCTGCAACTGGTCAGACAAAATTAAGTTTAGTCATTTAAATTAGCATTTGCTTCCACGTACAATTGTGTGCCAGCTGTTTGAATGGCTGAAAGCTCTGGATTCAGTCTTGCAGCACGTGTTCAGCTGCTTTTCTTACACTGGTCACAGTCCAGATTGATGACTGCAATAGATGGTGATTTTGTTTCATCAAATTGACATAGCTCGTTTGCAAGAAAGCAGAGCACAGGTAGAGGGAGGGGCAGAGAGTGCAGGAGAGAGAAGGATGAATGTATCAAGCCATCTTTTCCCTTGCAGTGTACTCCAGAGAAGTGAATGGGAGGTAAACATTTCAGGACCAGGATGTTGAAGGGCAAGCAATTTCTCATTTAAGTGTTTTGGATGCTTTCTGTTGACTTAATTGAATACAAGCTCCAATCTCTAGCAATAAAGCAAGCATCAGGGAGGCAAATCATTCCCCCTAATGTGATTGCTATGGTCTGGTCTGCAATGGTGTTTGCTGCATTATTGCCACTTGCTTTCAAAAGGAAGCCCCGAAATAATCTAAACAACAGCTCTCCCGCTAATTCCTTTCACATTTTGTACTCCGAATGAAAGATCATTTATGCATGCATTATAGCAAAGTTACTTTCTGATTACAACTGGCTGCATGATGTTAGAAGATTCTGGGGACTCTGAGATTCACTATTTTACCCTGTAACAAACCCAGTGGATTCAGCAGCTAGCACACTTGGCACCAAAGGTTGGTGCTATTATCCCTTATTCAAAGCCTTTCATAGATTTGAAGGACACTATGGCTGGTGATAAGAGGGGAAGAGAGAAATGGCCTATTTTTTGAATATATTCATATTCTACACAGGTCATAGATAAGTAATTCAAAACTTCTATACCAAAAGACGAACAATTTGCCATTGAAACGTCTTGTCCGAATACTATTTTTCTTGAAGAATACACTCAAACCGTAGGAATAATGCAAATATCAGAGATGCAACATTGTGATTACGATTGCTTGGAATGGAGCTCACTACAGTGCTGTGTGAAGCCTTAACAAGGAATCCTGACGTTCTCTTACAGTAACTGCCATCTCACCTGCAATTGCCTTTCACTTCCTTGCATTCTGAAGAAAGTAAAACCTAATTCACATATTGCATTCAACTTACTTTTCGATCACGCCCTCCGTTTCTGGTGAACACGGATCTCCGTTTCCCTTGCACTTTGGACTGTCAACGTTTTCAGAGCTGCAAATGGTCACAATGTGCGAGTAAGTCATTTTAAGCAAACATCTACATTCACGATAAAATAATTTTTATAAACTTGATTAAGAGCGTTCGTATTTCAAGCCACTGACAGTCGAGCTGGAGCATGGAAGCAAAGAGAGGGAGAAAAGCATGTGACAAACCATTTCTTCAATACTTGACATGTGTTGGATAGTCTAGAAAAGTCTCAAATAAAGAGCTTAGGGCAATTATACAAGGGCAACTAATTATATAATTTCTCCAGTGAAGAGCTTTGGATACAGTATCTACATACAGGACTGAATGGGTATTGGCTCAGCAATTGCAAACATTAATGGTGGCAAAGAAAAGCTTGCTGCTGCGCCATTGTTCTTATTTCACCATCAGCTCTTGGGATTGGCCCATTTCATTCATGGGATAGTGACCTGGTAACAGCTTCTTGATCAGCCCACATAAGCACTCTGCCACCCTTGGTGGTGCCACTCCTCACAGCAGGACTGGCTCCAGCTCTCAGTCCAAGCAGCAAGGCTCCACCACAATTCACAAAATTATTGCTGCAAATGTCATGTTAAAAAAAAACACCACGTTCTAATTTCTACGAAAAATACACATTTTGGAGGCAGAGTCCAACAGTTTCCGTAATGTGATAAAAATGGCCTGGAATCGTATATTCTATATTGTTCTGGAATGTATGCAGAAAGAACTTAACTGCACAATTTCACAGGAATTGCTGGGTTATCCAGCAATTGCCTTTATTCCAAATACAATAATAATTGGGAATTAAATTGCATTTGGATCAAACTCACTCTTTAATTTCTCCAGTTGTTCCTGAAGAACTGTTATTTCCATCTTCATCGCGGATTGGATTGTCAAACTCAATAAGCGTACAATTGGTCATAAAAGATAAATGAAATTATTTGAATTGGTATTTGCGTCCATCTATAATTGCGTGCCAGCTGTTTGAAAGGGTGAAGGTTCTGGATTCAGTACTGCAGCCTGCATTCAGCTGTTTGTGTGAAACTGGTCACACTCCAGACGGATGACTGCAATATATGATGATTTTGTTCTTCCACACCTTTCAAGCCTGTAGCTAATAATAAGGGATAGAGAGAGAAATGGGATACCCATGTCTTGAATGTATTCATATTCAAAGTTCAGAAACTTTGACGACAAAACACAAGCAATTTTCCAATGAAGTGTTTTTGATGTCCTCTCCTAATACATTTACTTTGAAAGAACTTCTGAAGCCGGAGGAATAATGCAGATAACGGAAAGACTGTAATGCGACTCCTATCGTCTGGAGTTGTGCTCACTGCACTACTGTGTGATGTTTTCACAAGAAGTCCTTACAATGTCTTACAGTATTATAGAATCCTTACAGTGTGGAAACAGGTCCTTTGGCCCAACAAGTCGACACTGACCCTCAGAACATCCCAACCAGACCCATCCCCATCCCCATCCCCCTCTACACATCCCTGAACACTAATTGGCATGGCCAATTCACCTGGCCTGCACATCTCTGGACTGTGGGAGAAAACTGGAGTACCCGGAGGAAACCCACGCAGACACGGGCAGAATGTGCAAACTCCACACGGTTACCCAAGGGTGGAATTGAACCCGGGTTTCTGGCGCTGTGAGGCAGCAGTGCTAATCACCAGGCTACCATGCCACCCAGTAATTGCTAGCTCATCAGCAATTTCCTTGGTATTTCTTGCACTCTGAATGAAGCAAAACCTTAACCACATATTGTATTCAAACTTACTTTTTCATGATAGATTTTAGAGTGCATGGTTTCCCATCTACACTGTCAGGTGATCTGAAAATGGTCATAAGAGTGCTATTAAGCAATTTTAAGCAAACACCTACATCCACAATAAATTCATCTTAGTACCCCTGAAAGAAATTGAGTAGGTATTTCAAGCCGTTGACAGCTAATTTTGTAAAAACAGGTTAAGACGCAACTACAGTAAATGGTGATTTGTTTCCCCAAAACCTTCAATGGTAGTTTGCAGGATAAGACAAAGACACTGGAGCGTGGAAGTAAAGAGAGAGAGAGTAGGATGCAACAAATCCATTTCTTCAACACTTTCTATTTGTTGCAAAGTCCAGAAATATCTCAAATAAAGAGCTCCAAGTCCAAATATAGAAGGGAAACCAAATTTCCAACGAAGAACTTTAGATACTGTCACTACATATAGGGCTGAATTTTCCAAGTCAACTGGCCTTGGCCTGAGACATGAGATTCTTGGCAAAGTGGAGGGGAATTCAGGAAGAAAGCTGAACTCCCTGTGCACCATTATACTATATTGTCAGAGGTGGGCAAAGTAGCTGGCTTAACAACTCACTGGGCATGAACTAAGTCACCAACTGAGATGCACTCCCGTCTGTCTGTCTGGTGAATAGTAGAGTTCCTCAACTCCCTCAGTGGGCATTGGCCTGCAAATCTCTTTAGTATAAGCTCAGCAATACCAACCGTAATGGCTGCAAAGAAAAGATTGCAGCTCTGCCTTCATTCTGATTTCACTGTCACTTATTGGGATCGTGCCATTTCAATCATGGTACAGTGACCAGGCAGCAGCTTCTGGATTAGCCACCGTCAGCACCATGCCACCCTTGGTGCTGCCACTAATCACAATTGGTTCCAGCTCTCACATCCAGCAGCAGGGCTTCATGACAATCCATAAAATTAAGACTGCAATTGTCTCTTGTAAAAAAGAACACTGTCTTCCGACTTTAAGACACAATACACACTTTGTGGGCTGAACCCAACAGTTTCCTTCATGTGGTAACCATGGCTT